GGGATTGTTAGATAATAATGCAAGCAAGATTGAAACACAAAAAGGAATCATGAAGGTGTTCCGTGGAGCACTTGTGGTGATGAAAGGCGAAAAGATAACAGCAAACTTGTACATCCTGAAAGGAGAGACTTTGCTAGAAGCAGAAGCCTCTGTTGCCTCATGTAGTTCAGATTCTGCAATGCTATGGCATCAGAAACTTCGACACATGTCAGAACAAGGAATAAAAGTCCTTATGGAGCAAAAACTACTTCCAGGCTTAACAAATGTATCACTTACTTTGTGTGAGCTTTGCATAACAAGTAAGCAACACCGGTTGAAATTCAACACATCAAATTCTAGATGCAAAAGTGTTCTAGAATTGGTTCACTCTGACGTATGGCAAGCACCATTTACATCCCTAGGCAGAGCAAAATATTTTGTCTCATTTATTGATGACTACTTCAGGAGATGTTGGGTGTACCCTATTAAGAAGAAGTTATACGTATTTTTAACTTTCAAAAACTTCAAAGCGCAGGTGGAACTTGATTCTGGAAATAAGATCAAGTGTTTCAAAACAGATAATGGAGGAGAATACACAAGTGAAGAATTTGATGACTTTTGCAGGAAAGAATGCATCACAAGACAATTCACAGTGGCGAACACTCCTCAACAAAATGGAGTGACAGAGCGGATGAACATAACCTTGTTAGAAAGAACAAGAGCCATGAACATACTGCCTTTTATAGAAGGTAATATTACATACTCATCAACTCGTCAATCAAATCGTGTGAGAAGACGTCCCAATTGGCACTCAAATTATGTTATAGAAGGTAATATTACATACTGCCTTTTAACAGAGGACGGTGAACCATGAACATTCCATGAGGTAATAAACAGCTCAGATGCTTCACTGTGGATGATGGCGATACAAGAAGAAATTGAAGCCCTCCATAAAAATAATACATGAGACCTTGTGCCACTACCACAAGGAAGGAAGTCAATTGGTAACAAATGGGTCTTCAAAATCAAGCAAAATGGTGACGATCAAGTTGAGAGATATCGTGCAAGACTGGTGGTCAAAGGATATGCTAAAAAAGAAGGTATTGATTTTAATGAAACACTTTCTCCTGTGGTTCGACTAACAACAGTTCGATTAGTCTTGGCAATGTGTGCTACATTGAATTTACATCTAGAGCAGCTAGATGTTAAGACAGCTTTTCTTCATGGAGATCTTGAAGAAGAAATTTATATGCTCCAGCATGAAGGTTTTGAAGAAGAAGAAAAGAAGAACTTGGTTTGCAGGTTCAACAAATCTCTGTACGGTCTAAAGCAGGCACCGATGTGTTGGTATAAGAGATTTGATTCCTTCATTATATGCCTTGGATACAACAGACTTAATGTAGACCCTTGTGTTTATTTCAAGAGGTTTGGTGATAACGATTTTGTTATATAGTTGTTGTATGTGGATGACATGTTGGTTGCAGGACCCAACAAAGATCATATTGAAGAATTGAATACACAACTGGCTAGGGAATTTAAAATGAATGACTTGAGATCAGCAAACAAGATTCTAGGGATGCAAATTCACCGAGACAGAAGTAATAGTAAGATTTGGCTTTCACAAAAGAATTACTTGAAGAAGATCTTGTCACGATTCAGAATGCAAGATTGTAAGCCAATTTCTACCCCTCTTCATATTAACTTCAAATTATCCTCCAGTATAAGTCCTAGCAGTGAAGAAGAGAATATGGAGATGTCTCGAGTACCGTATGCATTTGCAGTGGGAAGTTTAATGTTCGCTATGATATGCACAAGACCAGACATTGCACAAGTAGTGGGAGTGGTTAGTCGGTACATGGCGAATCCAGGCAAAAAGCATTGGAATACAGTAAAGAGGATCCTGAGATACATCAAAGGGACCTCAAATGTTGCATTATGTTACAGAGGATCAAACTTACTTATCAATGGATATGTCGATTCTAACTATGCAGGGGATTTGTATAAAAGCAAATCTACTACAGGATATGTGTTTAAAGTTGTTGGTGGAGCTGTAAGCTGGGTTTTAAAATAGCAGTCAGTTGTGGCTACGTCTACAACAGAAGCAGAATATGTAGCAGCTACACAAGCCAGTAAAGAAGCATTTTGGTTGAAGATGCTATTGGAGAAGTTGGGCACAATCAAGAGTATGTCTCTCTGTTTTGTGATAGTTAAAGCGCCTTGCATTTAGCAAGGAATCCAACATTTCATTCAAGGACAAAGCACATACGAGTTCAATACCATTTTATTCGTGAAAAGGTGGAAGAAGGAACGATATATATGCAGGAGATCCATACCAAAGACAACATAGCAGATTTCATGACGAAGGTGATCAACGTTAATAAATTTACTTGGTGTCGATCCTCTTGTGGCCTGTCAGAGACGTAAGCAACATGAAGGTACAATGTAGAAAGAATGGTGTAAAGATATGATTGTTCCAATCAAATCTTTAAGTGGGAGATTGTTGACTATGCACCGAAAGGTGCATAAATTTAATGCACCGAAAGTTGGAATAAAATATTCCACCCACATTTGTTGAATTTTTTGGAAATGGTAAAATCACAAATTAGTCATTGTACTTTAGGGTATTTATAAGATTAGTTCCTAAGCTTCAACTATAAATACCCTAGCTCATTTAGCTTCAAAACCATCCCAAATCATTCTAGATTTCTCCCAATACTAGAGAATTTAGAGAGTTTCTTGAGAGTTGTTTTTCTCCTTTTTATCAAAAGAGAATTATCATTGTTTTCTCCTTGTTAGATTGAGAGAGATTGTAATTCCTATTTTCTCATATTGAATTTCTTCTACCTTGCCCGTGGTTTTTACCCTATATTATTTAGGGGTTTTCCACGTAAAATTTGTGTCTTCTTTATCTCTATTTTTATTTTCTCAAATTATCAGTTACGATTTTGTTCTATCCGATAACCGTATTCCGCAACAGCTCTGGGGTATGTATCAAGGTCTCTGCAGTGCCAAGGACGGTGGCTTTACACAAGTTATAGTAAAGATTGAGAGTCTTGAGGCGTTGAAGGAGGTGTCGGACTCAAAGTTGAATTTCAGACATTTATCGGTGGTTCATCATATTGTGGAACTTTTGGAAGGAGAGTGGCCTGTGCGGTTTAACCAGGTTAATCGGCAAGGGAATCGTGTTGCGGACTGTTTTGCTAAGTCAGTGGATCGAAGGCACTTCGACGGCGTGTTATTCTCGGATCCTCATCCGGAGGTGCGTCCTTTGTTGCATGAAGATGTGATTGCTTCTGCCTCGGCTTAAGTTGTAAACCTGATTATTCTTTTGTTACCCAAAAAAAAATGGTAAACAACATTGTTTCACATGTTTCCATTGCCGACAGTCTTACATGTTTGACAATATTTTAATTTTGATACTTTAAAATTTTATTATTTTATCTTATTTTCTTTACATAATTTTAACTTCATCCGTATATAAATGAATTATCTTTACCTTTTTTCCAATTAATTAAAAGATATTGATGAACGTACAATATTATTCGTATATTTATATGTTTAAGTTATTGTATATTTATATAATTTTTTACAAGTTTATAATTTTAATATGTTTATATGTCCATATTATTTTTTATATGTTACATCATTTTTTGTTGTATTATGATTTTTTATTGTATAGTCAAATGATGCTTAGAGGTATATTCGGTGGCAAAAAAAAACATACCTATAAAAACAGGAGAAAAGACAATGAGATAGACAGGAATATTTGAATTTCAATTAATTTATCATTTAAGATGTATATTATATAAAATAAAATAATACAAAAACAACATATGAGGTAAATATTCACATCAATCTTACAATAATTAGTTTCCACGTGTATACTTTAAAAATAAGATAATACGAAAACCATTGTGAGGTAATTGTTCACATCAATCTCACAATAATCAACTTTCATAAACATAATTTAACAATAAAACAATTATATACATTTTACAAATTGTTTGGGTATGATTTCATAATTAAAATGCCAATTGATATCAATTTTATTGTTGGTGGTCGACCATCGATATACATTTGTTTTTGTATTTGATTATATCGTATCTTTAATTTTCCCCTTATTTTTTAATTTTTAATAATTTTATTTTTAGCACGTTTTTCTTCACCTTTGTGGTACGTTTTACTCTGTCGTTTGACACATTTTCGGTCGCTTGATCATTATTTTCATTTATCATTTACTTAAGATTGGATTTGTCATCGCCACGACTGATCAATATGACGTTTATTTATTATCATGTTGAACTTCCTTGCTTTGAACCGTTGGATTGGATTTAGTTACACAATTTACGTTCGTGGATAATTTTCTTACGTCGCTCGATTCTGAGTTGCAGTTTGTCCATGGTCTTTTAATAGCTTGATCATTTTGTGGTTAGTTTGCCGATGCAATCAAATCTGTCGGTATCTACCTTTTATTCAATTTTATTTGATTATGTCTTTAACCTTGTCCGTATATGATGATCCATGTGTGATTTTAAGTGGTTAGTGTCTTATGCTAACGGTCACAAGATACAATTACTATGTGTCTAGTCTATGGTTATGATTATAAACATTCGTTGTAATTTGAATATTTTTTTATTTTAATAAAATTATTCGCTTCTATCTTATAAAAAGATGTATAATTAAAAATAAATAAAATTATATTGGGTACGTATCCTGAAAATCAGCTCAAAAGTAAAACCGTAAACGAGCCATTTTAATTACATAATCTAATTCTTATTATATTTTACGATTCATATTCGAAATTTGTAATTGTCCCTTTTTAATAATATCGTCCACACCAGTACTAATTGGTTAGAAAGGTACGATTATATATATAATGAATATAATTTTTTATATTATCTGGACACAATAATTTATATATTATTGAGAATTGATAATAAAAAATTCTCCCTGTCAGGCGAATGTAAAACCTATATAAAGAGGAACATGAAAGAGTTACTTGTGCAAGTGGGGGAAAAACAATGGAAGCAAGATCAATGTTGATTTGCATTGTATTTGCTTGCGATCTCATAGCATGTTGCCATTGTAATTATTACTCAAAGACTTCACCATACACTCCACCTGCTCAGAAAATCACACATCTTCACTTCTTTTTCCATGACACGATCAGTGGGAAAAGCCCTTCCGCCATTAAAGTAGCTCACCCGAGCTTCCCCACGGCCTTCAACGACACGCCGGGGCCGTTCGGGAGCGTGTTTGTGATCAACGATCCCGTGACGGTCGGACCCGAGAAGACATCTCAGGTAATGTCGAGACCAATTTTATTAAATTTATATCCATTCCGTTAATGTAGAGGGACTTCTGACACGGTTAATATTGTCCCAATAGAAATTTTGACATATCGTTATGGGTCGTAATTTTAGGTGATTGGTTCGGCACAAGGGGTATGGGTTTCGACGGGGCAAGAGATGCTGGAATTGGTGGTTACGATGGACATTGGATTCACGTACGGCGAGTTCAATGGGAGTTCCATAAGTTTGATGTCGAGGAACCCTATTGCACTCAATCAACGAGAGCTTCCCATTGTTGGAGGGAGAGGCAAGTTCAGGATGGCTAGAGGCTTTGCTAACCTCACCACTCGTTTCTTTGATCATGTTAAGGGTGATGCCATGGTCGAGTATCATGTCACTGTCATTCATTATTGATTCTGCACCTCATCTTATATTCCAATTATCGATTGTATCACATGTAAAATAATAAAACGTTTTATCGCTTCACATCCATTTCCAATTCCATGTTTCAATTTTGAACAATAATAAAGTTTTGTCTGTTGTTGAAAAGACAAGAATTTGATTTGGAGACATTCACATTCTAAGCTGTCAGATTCTTAATCCTTTTTGTTTTTTTAGAATTCTTAATCCTAATTTTTAATTACATAATAAATATATTCTTTTTATATGGACAGATACTTTATCTATATTCATAAAAAAAGTTATTTGAATTTACAAATCAAGCGACTTTAGTAGTAAAGAATTGTTGTTATCCTTAGAGATTTTAGTTTTGGAGTTCAAACAATACATTTGTATGAGTGTATGAGCGTTCATTGTTAAATGATTAAGAATTTTTCAAATAAATATTATCTTTTATTCAACTCAAACTAATAAAAAAAAACTATTTGGATGCATGGGTTAACTGAATTGCACATTGTGTATGGCTGGTTTTTAGATGAACTAGGATTTAGATCTTTTAATATCATGTTATATTAATTAATATATGAAAAATAAGATAATGCTTAGTTTTTTAAACAAGTTAATCTAAATTAAGTAGTACTACTTTTTCTTTCTTTACAACGTTGTCAATTTTGTTAATCAATCTAACTTTTTTTTCTTTAATTTTGTTTTACATGCGACATCTATTTTGATGTTAGTTGCCACCCGCATGTTATATTTTTCTTTTCTTTTTTAGTTTTTTAATAAGAATAACTATGTTTTTATGGTATGTTCTCTATCTTTATGGCACGTTTATCTTTGTTTTTGTGGCACGTTTTTCTTTGTCTTTTGGTAGTTTACGGGTTTTTTCCGTTGTTTTCGTTTATTTTTTATCACAAGGTTGGATTTGACATCGTCGTTATTGATCAAGATGACGCTTATTTGTTATCATGTTGATCTTCCAGCTTTGGACCCTCAGATTGATTTGGATACGCGTTGTGCGCTCGTGGATAGTTTTTTCATGTTGCTTGACTCTGATTTGTGATTTATTGATGATCTTTCAGTACTTTCATCCCCTTTTTTAGTTCATTTACCGATGTAGTCAGATTTGTTCGTATCTTTATTTTATTCGAGCATTGGCTAGGTTTTTTTAATTGTTTCCTTTTACGGTCATTGTGTGATCTAGGTGGTTAGTTTTTGTGTTAATGATTATAGGAAAATATCCTAATTATAATTTAGTTTACGTTTATGGTTATGCTCGTAAATCTTCATTATAATTTTAGATATTTTCTATTTTTAAAAGAACTAGCGGGTTTTTATAAAAAAAAATAAGTAGTAACTATAATGAACGTGCAAAATACAGAGGAATAATACAAAAATTAAAAGAAATATTAATTAAAATACGCAGGTTTAAGGATTCATTCTTAAAATATGAATCGTGTTTATATGAAAGTGTAATGAATACTATATTTTCTTCAATCAATTGAATACTCAAATTAATAAAACAAATAGAATAATTCTTTTGAATAACACTGCTTGTTAATAGGACAATTAATGTGGAATGATACGTGATAGAGGAAGCTAACTAATTTTCTAAGAGCTTGAGGACTTGTTATCGTTCCAATACACATTTTCAATGAAATCAATCTTATAATTAAGTACCAATCTCTTATACGGTTTCTTCCAGTTCCTATGATAAAAAAAATGATGAGATAAAATCTGTATACATATACATTTTAATTTATACCTCAAATTTTATCTATTTTTTAACAAAACCAGGGGTAAATTTGGACCAATACCGTGTGCGGGTTAATTATTTAACTCAATACGGGATCATATTTTTTTTTTATTTTAGGAACTACAACATTAGCTACAGTGACTTAGAACTCATCACGTTAAGGTGACGAGTTCCAATAATATATATTTTTTATTGAAACTTGTCATTTCAACGCAACAAAATCTGATAAAAATATATTTTATTAAAATTCATAACCTTGAAGTGACGAATATGAATAAAAAATATTATTTGGACGAACTAATCATGTGGTCCGAAATTAATTTTGAAGATGGCCTAATAGGCTAATTTTTTCACCCACCTGATCTATTGGGCCAATTTTACCACAAACGGCACTATTTTTAGTTATTGTCACCACTTAAATGTAGCCCAGTGGTTTTGGTTATAGGCAACACAGCCCATGAATCCTAGTTTGAAGATCAAAATTTGACCAAGAATGATGGTTTACAAAATAAGTTGAGTTTTGATTCATGAGTTGTTTGTTTTCTTTAAAACAACAGGAATATGCACTCTCTCCCGATTACATAATAATGAGCTTCAAACTGGAATATCCATACTAGTTTTAAATTCCATATATAATAATGATCCAACTTATCAAGTGACTTTAGTGATTAAATAAAGTGTTGTTCTCTTTAAAGGTCCTGATTTCAATCAGCTGCGTCTGCAGGTGTGTTGTCAATGACTAAAAAAGATTTTAAACAATACCATCTTATGATCACACTAAATTATTTACAAAAAAAAAAAAAAAAAAAAACCCCACGGCAATATGGATATATCAAAACATATGTTACTCGGACTCAGATGTAAGTGCAGATACGGGTATGTATCCAACACAGGAATGGTTAGATTTCTCTAAATTGTTCCATATATTTGATATTTGGAGGTCATTTCTCTATATCCAAGTGTCGAACACGGATACTTCATGGAAAATGAAGAGTCCGAGCAACATAGATAAAACCAACAACATCATTCTAGATTCATCTCAATTATGGCACTAATAAGTAGCCTTACAAGTGTTATTTTATGTCTAATAGGTTCAATGATTCATTCTATTCAAAACTTAAAACAAGAATGGTAATCTGACAGATCAAAGCCATGTAGTACATTATTTGTCAAACACCATAATACAATTTAAAACATGTAAAAAGGGAAAGCAGGGGCCAGCATTCAGATTGACTGATGAATAAGAGCATAGAAATGATACCTATTGTTATATCTCACTTTCTGCCGCGTTGTTGCAGTTGCTAAAATATTCTTTCGATCTAATCTAAGGAACGAGATGACGAGCAAACTAGAGACGGTTACAACAAAAAACAATCATGTCAAAAGATGAGAAAACATAAGAATGAAACAGAGAAAGGCCTTAGAAATAAACATGAATCGCGAACATCGATCGTTAGGTTTTCTACAATAGATACACTAGCCTGTGATATGAAAAACAATACCAACAGATAAAGTAGCCAACTCTATTTCAGTTTCCTCGCAAATGCAACCACTAAAGCTAAAGGATACAAATTCATTATAACAAGAGAAAACCCAAAATTTAGTGTCAACATATCGATTCATGAGCACATTATTCACATTATAAGAACGCTATGTCCCGTAAGAAGAATACATATCCATAAAACTAAACGTAATGCAGTTATACCATGATTATATCAAATCTTGACTAGAATCTGACCTTGAATAACATGATCCTTTACATTGACAAATCCGAAACAACCACCACTCATGAGATAAAATGTGATATTCTAGAAGCCATATTCGCTACCTGAGCCTGCATTTGAGCTTCCTTAACTTTCGCAGCAGTAGCCCTATGAAAGAACTGCTCCCTTGACAACAACCTCACATTCCTCAGATACTGATCAAACGAAACGGAGCTGTCTTGCACTGCCTTATCCATCGAATAAACCACATCCTCGATGGCTAAATCAGCAGCTGTGCAATCCAGCATTTGTTTAGAAAGAACATCGGCACAATGAATCGCCTGATCGACATCAACGTTATTCTTTCCCAAGTTCTTTGTTTCCCTTCATTATCTCTAATCCAAATATCCAACACATACGGATTCATCGAAACGAATTGTAATCGTTGTTCTAAAGCTTCCTTTTCATCTTGCATCTCTTTCAACCCTTTATTAATCTCTTCATCTCGTCTTCTCAACACAGCTTGAGCCAAAAACAACCCTTCCATTTCGATTTCCCTTGCTTTTCTCATCCCGATTATATCCCCATGAACCATCTCCACCAACTTATTCATAGCATTCCTCTTATAAACCACGGTGGCATCATCGGTCGAAGAAGGACGGGCTTGCAAGTGCTGCGGAGGCTGAACCCTCCCATATGGCGAAGGCGGATATGCCCCCGCGGCCGAATGAGCCACCCTAGGTGGCGGCGGGTGGTATCCAAAACTAGACGACATGGAGGAATTGGTTAAAGGGCTAGCGCTGGGACTGGGGTTAGGACGACGTTGCGAATAAAGCGGCGGATCACGTGAAAAGGCGGAGCTCAAATTACCGATCAAATCGACAAGATTAGAACTTGGGTAAATCCAATTATGCAAATAAGGGATCGAGACTAACCCAGAGGGAGAAACGTGAGGATGGGGTCGTTTGATGATCATGTCGCGCGTGGGGTTAACGTAGACGGCGGGAGCGTAACGAGGGTAGGATTCCATGAGCCAGATGATGACGGAGATGTTGTAATTGACGCCTTGGAAAGTCATGGGGATTGTGCCGTCGGCTTGGAGGAGATTGACAGATCGGCCGTCGTTGTGAGTGAAAGTGGCCGCTTTAGTTTCGAGGGAAGGGTAATTGGATACAAGGGAAAGGAGGTGCTGACGGATTAGCCATTTGGTGTCTTCGGTGTAAGGGAGGGACGAAGGGCCGCGTTGGGAGAGGACGGAGGAAAGGAATTGTTGGGTTTGTTGAGGGTTTGGCGGCGGAGTTGACGACGGCGACACCATTTGGTATCTTTTGAATTTGCCTTTTTTTTGTTGTTGAAAATATTTTGAATTTGCTTTAGCTTAGCAGATGAGGGAGCCTTGGGTAAACCTTTTTCTTCCTTCTATTTTATCCAAAATTTATTATATTATATTATATTATATTATATTATATTATATTATATTATATTATATTATATTATATTATATTATATTATATTATATTATATTATATTATATTATATTATGAAATTGATTATTT